GCCCAATTCGAGCGCGTGGCGAGATGTGCGCATAGCAATATCGATCGCCGGGCGGTCACATCTCGCCACGCGCTCGAATTGGGCGGTAGGCCGGCCTAAGACAACGATTTTTAATAATTAATTACTCATTAACTATTACGAAAATTGCAAAATGGTGCAGGACTTTTCCGTTCATCTCGATCCGTTCTACCTTCTCAAAAATTTTGTCGGATATGGAAAAACTCACCCTGTATAAATATAATATAATATAAAAATATAATATAAAATAATAAAAAAAATATATATAAATAATATAAAAATAAGACAATATCGAAATAAAATCAATCATTCTTATTCTCCTCTATCGAAATAAAAAAAGATTGGTTTGCTATATTGAGACAAGAGTAACTTAAGATTAAAATATCCCTTTCTCTATAATAAATACGATTGACGCTACATTGATCCTATTTTATGATTACATTGAAATAGCATTGGATTCGGAGAATTTTTTCCGTGGGTGTGGAATAGCGTAAATTTCAACGTATTAAAATTAACGTGAGAAAGAGAGAGCGAGGGGGGGGGGCAGAGGGGGCCCGAGCAAATTAGCTAATTATTTCGCCTCTACTTATCCTCTCTCAGGCCTCTCCTCGGACGAGAACATAATTTTTTCCCTCGCGGTTTCGTGGCAACGTATGATTTATTTCCTGCTAAGGTAAAACGAATAAATTACCATAAGACCGACGAAAGTTTTCATCGGGCGTAAGATTCAAGGAGCGAGCGTGCACCGTGCGTACACCCGATGCGTGCGTGCGGTCGCGTGTGTGCGCGGCGGGACGCGTGCGTGTGTGTGCACGCCGTCGCACGTGTACGTCTTTAAGCCCGCGAACGCGAACTCTCTTCTCGTTACTCGCGATTCCCGACGAGCAGATTAGAAATTCGTGACTTCGCTGGAACGGCACTCGCTCGACTACCCGCGGCGGGGAGTCGTTGCGCAAAGGGGAACCGAAAATCGCGCTACCGTACGTTTTTGGTCCGGAATTTCGCCCCCTCGCGCCACTCGCTCGAGCGGAAACCCACGAGTGGAAAGCGATTGAACGCGGCAAAATTCGACGATAAAACCAGTTCGCTCCCGTTGTCACTCCGAGACCCGTAAAAAAAAAGAGAGAAAAAAAAACGACGTGGCAGGAAGGCGCACAGGATGCGACAAGCAGCGAAAGTCCTGTCTTTATTGCGGTCTTCGAAGCGACTCGCTTTAATGCTCGCGTTCCTCATTTTTACAGATCCTTTTCTCTGTTCACTCGAATGAATCTGACTCGTCAGCCGCGTATTATTCGCACTCGCTGGCACAATATCATTGCGTTTATATAACTAATAAATACTGGAGATGCAGCGTTTCGAATTGGCGCGCCTCACTTTAAGGATAATGAATTCCTCGAAACTTTTTCTTTCGGCTATCTCGGTCCGACGCGCATCAGCTGTCGCAAGAGAACAAGTGATATTTTGAGCCTGCGGTAGGAGCCGAGGACTCCTTCTGAATAAACACTGTGATTAGGATCGATGAGGCAATATTAATTGGGTTCGTCGAAATGTCGCGGCGCCTCGCTTTCTTTGCTCCCGAGCGGGGCGGCGCGCACAGGTATCCAACATTACGCTCGAAATTAATAAAACGTACAGGTACACAGTGCGTTTCACCGAAGGATCGAAAAGTTTCTCGAGCGAGCAACGTTGCGCAAAATTCGCAGGGTCCGACAGTCGCCGGAGTGGTCCGAAAATTGAAGTCCGTACTTTTGAAAATATACGCTCGGTCTCGTCGGTCGCGCAGCTCCGGCGAGAGTGGAGAACGTAATTTGCAGCGCACAACGCAAACAGATGAAAAGACGATCAAACCTGTCTCTCTCGGCTCCGCTCGTTTTTCGCTAATCCCTCATGAAACCCGCCGTCCTCACATCGGCTGGCACTTGAAATGCAAATTCACAAGTATATACCGTGCGATTGCGAGCGGGAGGTAGTGCGAGCACCTCGTCGAGCGAAATTGGCCGGTGAACGTGCGCCCGGAAAATAGCCGCCGTGCGGTTTTCGGTGGGACCGCGGACGACGGAGACGAGACGGCGGTTTTTCGTGCGGGTGCGGGGCGAGATCGCGGCGTCCGGTCCGGCCAGAAGACTGCGCGATGGAAGTGGAAAAGCCACCAGCAGGAGCGTTGCGCTCCGACCACCATCGTCAGGTTGAGAGCTTTCTACGACCGACGATGAGGCCGGAGGAGGGAGTCGAACGGCGCATTGGCGTCTTCGGGGCCCGACCGGGGGCATAGGCGTAATTCCACTGGAGACTCGAGGACCCGGAGACCGGGAGAGAAAGGCACGAGAGACTGGGCGAGCGGGCACGGCACGTAGAAAGACACCTGCGTCGCCACCTGACAGAACGAGACGCTCTCGTGCACGCGGGGCCCCCCGAGTTCGATATCGATGCTGTAAGGTCATTGCTGCGTGCGGCAGCACGCAATGGTGATATTTGCTCACGGCCTGCGATAGTCATCGGATCAATTCGCGGCTTCGCCGTGCAACCCCGAGCCACCCAGACGTATAATTACGAGCCCGACGTATGTGACTGATTACAGTCGCGATCCCTGTTTCAGTCCGATTGATAATCTGCGGCAATTATGGGATCGCGTTAAGTATCGCCGGTGCTTGAGCTTCGTCAAGGATCCGGATTGGATGACAGATAGGAGTGGATGAAATCGGTCGAGGATCGGTTAAATGAACAGTTGAATTTTTATGACATTTGTAATGCGATTCGACACCTATTGTCACGATACCTTTGTATTTTAGAGAGTGTGGTGGGGGGGGGGGCTTCTATCAAAGGTCTTTCCACTGCCTTCAGGGTATTCCGTATCCGTCGCGATCCCTTCGTCATCTGTCACTGACCTGAAACCTAGCGTGCGCGCCACGAAGGATACGTATGAGAGATCAATCAGAGGAGCCGAGTGAAAGTGGAACGTCGGGCGTTAATATCTTGACAAAGGATGCCGGTGGAATAGTCGTAGGCGACACGCACGCCTCGGGGATGCTCCAAGCGATAATGATTCCGCGACACCGCGCCGATTCCGCGGTGAAATGTAGGAAATGTAGGTTTTTCCCTCCGTGACGGATCTTTCGTAATCCTCGCACGGAGGCACCGCGCACCGGTTGTCGTCGAGTTTTCAATAAATTATCTTCAGGGCCAGATGGATATCGTTGCCGATACCAAAGGGAGTAAACCGGATCTCCATGCGACGCTCGCGCGAGATTAAAGCGCCGCTAATGCGTGACATTAAACACGCAGAATTTGCATGCCACTTATCGACGAGTGACATTTGAAGAAAATAGCGATACGTCATCCGCGATACAGCCGCGAGGATTTCTTCGGGAGTGACAATCGTTATAAAGTGGTCGTAAGGATTGTCATATTCCCGACGTTACGTCATGTCGCGTCGCGTCGCGCAAAAGATTCATTGCATTCGTTGCATTATAATGTACGAAACGCGCGTAATCGATAATTTATCTCAATTCGTCTATGCATTCATATACCATCAAGTTTATTTATTCCGCTAGTTAAATAGAAAAAAGTCTGACAGTTTGATACACGTTTGCTCACTAGAGATAAATTTTGCTATCAGTCGGGCAGACATAATTGCCTAGTGTTGCTAATTGCTAGAATTAGAGATGCGCGAATCAAGGATTTTTTCGGTCGCGCCGAATCGAATCGGAGTTTATTTCCTTCTCCGAATCGAACCGGATCGACAAAATTTGAAGCGAATGGAATTAAATTGTCGAAATATCATTTTATAATTAACTGTATAATAATTATTTAGATTAAATTTTAACACATAGATAATAAGAGGATGTTTTGTAATCTTACACGATTTGATTCGCATTCAAGTAGTTCGCATATACTTGAGTTACACGGAAAGAATTTTCTCTTAAAATTACCCTGAACATTATGTAACCGTGGGACAACAGGCATTTTGAAGAACTGTATGAGTTTTCTGAAATTTTACCATACATTCTACTAATAAAATGTATACCAAGTATAATTTCTAGTAAAATGTATGATAGAATTTAAAAGAAACTCTCATAAAATTCTTCGAAACGTCACGTTATCCCACGATTACATGATTTTCAGGATAAAGTTTGGGAAAACATTCTCTCAGCGTAGAAAATAACATTTTCACATGCTGAAATGACTAAAGTTTTGTGGGTTCTTGAAAGATTTGGGAAGATTTGGAATTTTTCGTTACTAATTCGAAGCCGAGTGGAAGATCCTGCTGGCTGCAAAGAAAGGAGTGTCTGGCCTCGTGTCGCAAGTTTGTCCGCTGTACGAGGTCCACGACGCTTTCTTGACCACTCAAGAAGTCGACGAGTCCTTTCTTCCTCTATCAACGGCCACCAAGGACGGCGTTTCTTGTTCCTCGTTTTCTACATTTTCCTCTTTTTGCTCGAATTGCGACTCGCTGTGCTTATTCGCAATCGCCGGCTTTCTTCGCGCGGAAGGTCGAGCACGTGAAATCGAGTTAGGTGTTTCTTGTGTCGCCCGTCGAAAGGTTGCCGTCCTTAGTAATTTTTATGATTTAATTTGACTTACTTATTGCGAGAGCGCAACGTTATCTTCGACAAACATAACTGCGCGCCGTCCACGCTCCAATTATCACACTTGGATATAAATCTTGTTGCACCTCATTGAGTTTTAATATAATACATTAATTTACGATTTTCCTATCCTCTCAGTTTACGTCGGAATACAACCGACAAGACCGGATGGGGCACCATAAATAGCACACTAAAAGTAGAAACCGGTCAATTTTCCCATCACTTTTACTATCGTTAAGTTATTCCGTTAATACCGCTTGTATTTAACGGAATGGCGTTTAATCGCGTTATCCTTGGGATTTTATAAAAATGCGTTTTTATGCGGAAGAATCTATAATCGAGTCTGATGAATCGATGACAATAAAACTGCATCAACGCGGCAATTTAACGATCCTCAGATGTATTCGCATAAAATACGATTGCGTGATAAGCTGTAAAATGAAGCGTATTCCTGGATCCGTGGGTCGAAATTACGAAAGAGGATGTAAACAGCTGTGCGGGTGTTCCGTGTAACGAGACACGCATGCAAAATGCAAACGGAAAACTGTAACATCGCAGTTAGTATCCGACAGAGAAAGATAGGGTGGGGTTCGGCTGGTCAGTCACGACGAGCTCTTTCTATTGTCCAATCATGCCAAGAAATTGCCAAGCATGAATTTAATTTTAACACCGTTGCCACGAGCGGTGCTTCTTCGGTCGCGATAATTTTGCAAGTAACTCCTCGGTTTAACGGGATTTGGTATTTTTTAATTTACGATTTCTTCCTGAATATACATTTAGATGAACATTTCTTTTTGTGCAAAACATAGCGCTAGGAACAGTGTGGTTAAAAATTAGTGCTCTTCTTTCAGTTTCGTGAAAACATAATCGTTTAGTTAATAAAACCGTTAAAAGAAATTATAATCCTTTTCGCAAACTCTATTTTATTTAGCAGCGATAAATAAGGCAGGCATCCTTGTTGCTTTCCTGCATCGGCAAACTAGGGATTCGCGAGTTAGCTTCACCTTCCCTCGCAGAAAGTACGAGTTAAACTTGCGATATAGCGTGACGCGTTCGCGAGAAGCTTATATATAAAAGAGTTTATTAATGTACATACAACTATTTATATAAAAAAGAAATATGTAGGAATTGTTAGATCTTATTTCCATTCACGTCTCTGTAAAGCTCGTCATTGTTGCCGTAAAGTCTCGGTGAATCATTGCAGTCGACCTGTAATATTAAAATCGATTGAAAGAGAATTGAAAATTAATTGCGCGCCTCTAAGAATCCTGCATATTGAACAGTTACCTTAAACCACCAGTCACAAACGCGAGTGGTTTGACTAAAGACTGTACCGTTCGGGCAAAGGAAACTAAACTGACGTCCACTTGGCAAGCACCAATGCCACACCTTGAAAAAGAGAAATAGCGATTTTTATAATTATCAATTAACAATGAATTTACCGAAATGCTTCACCAACATCTTAGACTTGCGAGCAAAGCATTATAAATTTTTATCCTTCCTCGAACAATTCTGTCAATATTTCGTGACGTTGTTCTAAATGATCAGACTGTCTAAAAATAATCTATCGTGTCTCTTCTTTATCCGTTCTCTTTTTTAATATATCGTTTAATGAGATTGACGTGATCACATTAAGTGTACGATAGCACTGAAACGCATTTAAATAATCTCGAATATTGAAATGAGAATGTGTCCGGTGACCATATGGACGCACCTGACATCTGGCCTCGGGATCGGCATAGTATCCTGGTAACTTTCCTCCACAGGTAAACGTAAGTCCGAACGGCACCGAATTGTAAATTGGATAGTCCACGCCAGGTGTGTAACCATCCACTTGCTGTAAAATAATTACGCGTGTTACAGATAGCTATCGTCTTTTTTTTTTAACAGCTGTTACCGATTCGCCTGCAAATCGCTTCCCCTGGCGAAATGATTCCCTTATTATTACGAGTTTTAGGTTTTCCGCGGCGATTGCATAATTATTACACCGGGGCGTGTTCTAATTTGCATTGCAAATCTCGGTGGTTGCATCGAGACAATTAGCGAAAACAGTGGAACTTGGAGAAGCATAACCACGCAGGGCCACTGTTATTGTTCTGTTGGAACAATAACAATATGTTTCGACATGCATCATCCCGACAATGGAACATGGCGTGAATGTGGATACATGCCGTAAATCGGACTTCCCCTCTCTTTAACGCGAGCATACACGTTCAGCCTTAATTAAACTCGCGTTAATAAATTTCATAATTTATTTCTACGCGTCGATTATTGCACGCAATGAAAAGCGACGATTATATAACAGCAAGTACGGTTTTAATTATGTCCTACGGAAGTTTGATTTAACACGTCACTTTCAACATTTTAAATAAATTATTATCTTCTCACACGAGCATCTTGATCGAAATTTCACTTCATTGTTTATATTTTCGAATTACAATAAACGTAATTAGAGCAACGGCGAAAAAGTCGATTTTTCCGCGAACGCATTTGTTAAATGAATTAATTATTTAACAAATACATTAATGCTTCCTCCGGTTCTTCGCTCTGGGGCTACAAACTGAACGCGATATGGGATTGTTTTCGTAATTGGCTATCAGTCAAAACGAGAAAAAAATAAAGAGGCAGTTGCGACACGGCGCGTCGGCTCGAAACCGTTCAGTGCGTGCACGTGCCAATGTTTGACCGGAAGTCGAGTTACATTGTTCCCTCCCCCCCCCCCCCCCTCCACAGCGGATGCGCATCTCCGTGGCTTTGTATGCGATCTCTTGTTTACGATTTCACGTGTACGTATGCAGATGTACGGTCCCTTCCTTCTCCAGGCGCCGAATCTAACTGGTGATTCCAACGCCTGGTAAGAAGGCCGGCACCGAAAAGGTGATTCACCCAGTTATACGTTGCACTTTTACTTACACGGAATGACACGCGTTAAAGGTCAAGCAAATTCACGCGATACACATTTAACGAAAGTAGAAATGTGGCGAAAATACAATTACGTATAATTCAAAGAGGAGGATAATTTAAAAATAGACACGTGACAACGAATTTGTTGCATGCGAAAATAATCGAGTTAGTTTATTATAATAAAATATAAAGTCGTGAAAGATGTGTCGTTAGTCGAAGCAGGATAGTGAACACATTGCATAAATTAAGTGAGTTTCTTATCTTTCCGTTTGTTAGCTACGTGGCATTGAGGCTGCGTTTTATTTCTCGGCTTATTATTCTCTATCCAGCTTTTCATCGGTTTCGCGTCCATCATTTCCGGTGAAATATGTCTTCCAGCTGTTAATTGCAGAATCGGATGCGACGTGTCCAAATGTTCGCGTATATTATTTTCTTCTCCTCGTTAAGATTTATTAATATAATGTGGCGCGATGTTTTATGAATATGAAAAAAGTATTTCCCAATATTTTATAACGACCGAATATTTTAAAAATGAGGAACAGTATAGCTAAGTAGTCACACGCTACTTTTCCTTTCAGAAATCCTTTAATGTTGTAATGCAGTATCTAAATCATGGTTCATTTAGAATTTCGGCATTGTGGAAATATTCATGAGTTGCATTTAAAATCCAGATTAAATCCAGAATAGATTTCGTCTAACGAGGCACCTCGCGCATACACGAACGCGAGAACACGCTCGTGTAACACGGGTTAATTAATGAATTACTTCATGTTGCCACCTTAAAAGAAGGATGATGCGTGCAGGTACGGTTCACTCGCTGTTATTGTTACGCGATATACCGTGAGAAGCGACGATGAAAATGATAATTTTAATGCACCTTGTAAAAGTGGAATATTTACGAAATATTTCCCCCACCACCACATATCATGCACGTTACATAATTATTGTGTGACAAAGACATACTTTTCTCACGGGGTTGTAAACAATTTTTTTTAACAATTGCAGCATTATTTGTGAATTTAAAGAATTTGTGGAATTTGTGGGAAAGCTTGGAAGACTGCCAGGAATTTTAACTTACCGCCATTGTTTCATACAGTAAAACCGCGCCGAGGAGCAAAAGAGCGCAGATTACTTGGTACCTCGAAATCATCTGAAAAGTTAACAATTTTATTATTCAATAATACCGCTGCGTATAAATGAAGAGTGCATTAGGAAACATTTTGTTCTCACGCGGATAAAATTTGAAAAAAATCACAAATATCTGTTTAATCTTGTTGTTGTATAAATTTGACTTGTACAAGAAAGCGCTGCCGTGGATGATTTTTGGAAATAAGAGGTAACCGAAATTAACGAAAATGATACGAGACGGAGGATCAAGTAATGCGTTTACCTTTCCGTAAAGTCTGATCCCCTTAGTCCGCAGTGTCGTGCTGCGTGGTGATCATTTATCTTTCCGTGTTCCCTGTCTTTTCAGTTTTTCGTGTTTTGCCGCACTTACTCGATTTGCTTCAGGCTCGTAAGGTGATGCTACTTCCAAAGTATCTTTCTCAAAGGATTGTTCCACGAGGTGGTGGTATATATACGGCTTTAGACATCAGCCAGACAAAAGGGGGGACTCTTGAGAGTCTCTCTTTCTTGGGGCTCCCACATCAGACGAACGGAGAAAGAGAAGATCCCAGAGCGGTGGAAGGAGGGATGTTCCTCTGCGGTGCAGCAGATTCCTCTCTTACGCAATCGTCTCGTGCTCTAACACCCGTGAAAATATTCGTAACCATCGTACTTGAACCGCTGTGATACCCGTGCTCTTATTTCTGTCCCCCTCGAGATAGAAGAAAATTGGAATAGTCATAACTACTCCTACTTCGTCAAGTGCACACGGAGAGAATGTCCTCTTAAAATTGATCCTGAAAGTCGTGTAATCGCTGGACAAGTTTTCGAAGAATTTTACGAGAGTTTTGTCGAAATTTCACTAGTAAAATGTATGGTAAAATTTCAGAAATCTCTCATAGAATTCTTCAAACCTGCCATGTTGTCCCACAGTTACACAATTTTCAGGGTAAATTTTAAGAGAAAAATTCTCCATGTAGATTTTCGTAGACATTTGTTAGCTTTTTGAAAAAAACTTTCACAAAATTTTATTTTATTTAGATTTTTCCGTTGCACAGTATGTGAAAAAAAAAACACTGCGTTAACTGAAGCCCCTTTTCTGAGCAATATATCACCTCGTGGAAATATCTCGATCAAGATGCGCTCAATAAATTAGCTTCTTTTACTTGACAATTGTGTGTCTAATTATTCTGGCTGCTGTTAGAATTGCAAACGACTAAGAAAAATGCCGGTTATGCAAGTAAAAATATAGTTCGCGCCTGAAGATAACGAGTTAAAATTGCGATTAAAAAAATGTGCAATTTAATTCGCATCTCTTCAACTAATGAGAAAGCAAGGATGTTTTTATTTATTAGTACTATTAGTACAGGCTGTAAATTGATACGCAAGTGACGAAGGAGGGAATTGCATGTCGAGCACGAAACCGTGTCTTTGTGATATTAGTGTTCGGTGCTTCTCCACTTTGCTAGAATATGATTGATGTATCATTTAGTTACATAAGCGATCGAATACTCTCAGCTCGCGCGATCGTATCGTTAATTACTGTTTTGTGCGTCCGCGCTGGAGGGGTTGAGATCAGCGCGTTGATCTCTTCGGTCAGATACGATCCTTTTTTCCTCCTTTTTTTTTTGATTTCAGATTTTTCTGCAAAACGGAAATGCCCGTCAGCAGGTCGGACCCCGAAATGATTCGTTCTTATCGCGCGAGATGTATCCAAGGTTGCGCCGTCGCGCAACACTCACGCTTGTCCATCATAACACAATTCCACGAATGTGAATCTACGTCGTTCTGCCTCTCATATTGAAATTCACGTGATTGTACAATGGCGCGATGTGATATTATGATACGCCATTCTTATTTTGGCAACCACCACTTTCACCCTGGCATCACAATGACAGTCCCAGTATTTGCGACCTGTTAACGTGCTTAACGCTGGTGTCCGCTAATAAGATTTCTGGTGGCCGTTGGTAGACATTGATGTGCGCGAATTATTGCGACGCTGTAATCGCGCGATACAAAGAAGACATTTTAGGTTCTCTAATCTCTTAAGTTCTCTAAGGGAGATTGAATGGCCCGTCGCTTTTTTTTAAAAAAATCTGTGGGATAGTGATGACATTCGCGAGTATTTCGTCGTGTGCGCGGATGACCGCTCCGGGAAAGTATCTTCATGAACGTTAAAAACGCGACCTTGTGATACATCGTAGAATTAAGAAGAATCGCGAGTCGTATCTCGGCGCGAGGCCGTTCATTTGCATTCTGTTGCGCGCGCGTCAGCATCTTCCGCTCCGAACCCCTCAATTTTCGAAACGCTTTTCGTGCCAATTAGCGATGGATAATTGACACTTGGAGGTTTTTCCAGATTGACATGTAAACTCGGAGGTAAATCAGACATCCGTCCGTTACGGGTCGCTGATAACGCGCGTTACGAATTATGCACCGTTGTTTTCCCTTGGAAGCAAAAACTCTTCGTACGTTATGTTTTAATCTTTCATTTAAGATTTTAAAAGATTAATTGTGCCTTTTACTTCCTTTATTATTATATATTTGTAAATTTAACTGATCGATCTGCGCGAAAAATGTTCTGTGACGCAATATCTTTGCAAGTTGTAGCACTGTGGAGCAAGAGAGAAAGAACGAAAAGCTAAGGAGCTTATAGAGCGAAAATCTTCTTACAGAATAGACCTACAAGACACCCGCAAAGAAAGATCTTAAGTAATACATTTTTTTACGCCATACGGAGCAATTCTTTAATTGCGTGCGTTACGTTTCGTCGATTTTATATTATTAAAACAGTACTTCACGCGCACACACGTACACAATATCACGCATTTCATGAACAACAGGAAACAAACACTAGGAGAGCGCATCCCTTCTCTTCTTACGGCCGATTTCGCACGGATCATATTGCAGCTCGCGTTGCGTGCGGATGCGGAGTGCCACAGACCGCGGGCACAGACTGTTGTTCCTAATTAAATTATCTGTCTGCGAGCTAATTAGATATCGGAGCAATTGCAAAATATTCGTGACAACCGTGGGAAAATCTTTTTATTATTTTACGCGCAAATGAAACTATAATGTACTGGAAAAACACGTGGAAAATGCCTTTCCTGTTCATTAAATAATCCGTTAGCACATCGTTTAAGTTGTAAAATAGCCCTGATCTAAATTTAAGCTGAGAAATCGTTGACCTGAATTACAAAACGCGCGCGAGAGAGAGAGATAATTCTACAATAAAAAAATTAATCTTATATGTAATACAGAAAGCAATTCTCTTGGCAAGAATGTTCTTGCCCGGCGATCTCTTGGAATTTTTTAACCAAATCTTTATTATGAGACTCGTTGCAGTTCTTCCTAGTAGTAGCTGGAATTTTACATCTGGAAAATGTAGGAATATATTTCGAACAGGGTTGGATTCTCCAACTTCTTGGTAAACCAAACAATAGTTAAATTATATGTCTATCTTTGTGTAATTTGAGAGAAAAACAAAGACGTATATATATAATTTAACTATTAATTAACTTACCAGGAGGTTGGGACAACAGGCCCTGAAACTTACCTCTTTCTTTTCAACTAAGTTAATTTAAAGTTAAGAGCTTTGAAAATTTAACTTAGTTAAGATACAAGTTAAACCATAATGAAATAAATTGAATTAAAATCTTAGAGACTCGCGATCATGTTCAGGACCAGCGTTTGAACAACCAATAACGCTACACGGAAGTTTCACGTGAGTTCGAGAATTAAAGTCCCATACAATGGCTGTGTTCCAAAATTCACTGCCAGCACTGAAGTTCTATAGCATAATATAAGGCTGATGGCAGAGAACAATCGGAAAGCGCTTAAGGCTGTCTTATGCCGTAGACGTAAGGCAAGGCTGAGAAAAACTGAAGTCGTATACAAGGGACTTTCATAACTTCAGTTTTTCTCTGCCTTGCCTTACGTCTACGCGCTTACGGATCGTTCTCTGCCATCAGTCTTACTAGGAGATCCGCTTCGTCATTTGTTTCGTTTCGCGTCGATCTCTTCTGCGCGTCCGACACTGTTCTAGGCAGACCAATGAGAGAAGAGTTGTACGTGTGGTAGCGTGGCTTTGACGAGAGTGAATTTTGGAACACAGGAACTGCCAGTATAGACAAGCGCGCGGTGTCTCGCTTCGTTTATGGCACAGCTGATTTGAAGAGAGGTAAATTAAGGGCCGGTTTTTCCAACTTCTTGGTAAGCTATCTTTGTTTAATTTGAAGAACAAACAAAGACGTATATATGATTTAACTATTAGTTAACTTATACCAGAAGATTGGAACAGCCGGCCCTAAAAGTTAAAAGTTACCGATAAAATACAACTAAACTGAGGTAAAAGTTAACAGTTCATAATGTAACACCAAGTTGAAATTATTTAACTTCTTAACTTAACTTTTATCTTTTTAATTAGATACTACCCAACCCTGATTTCGAAGGAATGTCCTTCTCGCGGCATTCGCCCAGCATCTTCGCACGATGCGCTCTGCGGTATAATCTCTTGCAATTTCATAACGCCTTGACTTCCGAGCGTCTTCTTTCCTGTCGCCGGATGCCAACAAGAGAGGCACGAAAGTTATTCTCACGTTTTTACTGTTCCCCAAGCGTCAAATAACTCATCGCGGATCGGTGATAGTTTCTGGAGGAGAACCCGAGAGACTCCTGGAAGATTTGCCGATGATAAACCCGGTGATATAACAAATAAGTGCTTGTGCGTTACGACACGCACGCCGTTATTAATATTTTTAGCTCTTGAGAGAGAAATGAATTCGCGGGAGAATTCATTGTTTCCACTCACGGTTGCACCGTTCCATATTAATTGAAGATGTAAATGCTCATTTAGCTAATTGCGAATCTTGTGTATACTTCATTGTCGTATTACGCAATGCGATTACGATTGATATCTGCGTGAAATGAAGAGTTGAAAGGGAGCAAATAATCAGAGAGATTGAGAACAGCGACATTTTTGGACGTAGCTAAATTCTGCTTCTCGCGATTAAAAATTCCCGACGCTGTTGCGCATCGTGCCTGCCCGCATAAATTTTATTGTGTCTCGTTTGCGCAAGTAATATGAATTATGATAGAGAGTGCGAACGTCGGGAAGCTGCTCCGCGGCAGCGTTAATGAGTCCCATTATTATTAAATTCTATATCGAAGGCGTGACTTTTAAATGTCGCTCGAAAAAAATTGTTAAACGGAAAAGGCGTAGCTGCCGTAGCTAAAAACTGCATGTAACTAAATTTCGGTTGTAATATTATTTAGTTGTGGTGGCTAATATTTTACTGCTGTGCCTATTGCACTAGATGCGACAGGAAACCGTCTGCCGTGGTTCAGAAATTTATAATTAACGCAGCAAAATATTTTTAGCGAAATTGATCAAGATCAGCCGCGGTGGCGGGAAATTTTCTCATCGGCGTACAATTTACAAATGGCTACAAAACTACTATCGCTCTTTAGATGCGCGCGCCCGTGCAAATATTCCGTGATAATTGAAAGCCAGTGCGATAAGTCAAGGGCCCTCGATCTCGAGTCCGAAAGGTTCCTCTTCCTCGTCGCGGTCGCGATTAATCCCGGCGGCGTCAGGCCGCTTATCGTCCGCGTCACCTCAGGTTTACCTGCAGGTGTACCTCACACAAAGACGTTCGCGCACGTAAACGTGCGTACCAGCACGCCTATCGCGACCCGTTCCGTTTTATCAGTCAGCGCGATTCCGAACGAGCGAGCAGCGGCGGCGACGGCGGCGGCGGGCGGCGCGCGCTGTCCCACATTTTCAGTCGCACGTACACGACAGTGCATACCGCAGGTGCCTGTCAATCGTTCTCTCCTAGGTAATCCGGCCCCGGGGACCGCGCAGAGAGATCCGCGGATTCCGCGGTGCAGAGCCGCGACAAGCCTCGTCGCACGCGGATGCACCGCCGGCCGCGTCCAGCGCGCGACGATGTTTCCGGAAGCGTGGGCTTTTTCAGCCACCGCCGTCGCTCGCCGCAGGTGCGTCGAACGGTAAGATCGCGATCGGCCGATCGCACCTGGGTGGAGCGCACGCTCGAAATCACCTCGGCTTAGAAACGTGTTGTGCGTACGCGTGTGCGTGCGCGCGCCATGCCTTCGTCAATCATGTCAACCGGCGCCGAACGCAGGAAAGTGAAGGTAATGAGGTTGAAGGTGATCCGCGTTTTGAATATTCAATGCCTCCGGTCGCCTTTACCGATCGGAGGGGAAACGGGGGAGATTTCGCGCCGCAGATCGATCTTTTCGTTCGAATGGACCGCGATCTCCCCGATAAGGGGCGCCGCGTTTGTGTTTCGTCGCGCGTTGCGACCTGCCGCAACTCGATTTCCATCGGGTCCGACGGCTCGCGACGATCATTGTAATTAACATGCGGCTATTGTTTAAATTAACGATCGATGCTGCCGCGCTCGGCGTGGCAATCGTAAATTCCTCGCCCGATAGCTTCGCTCCCGTCTTGCTTATGCAATCGCACGCATCCCTGCGTTTGCGCCACCGAACGGATAAGTCGTTTCGCGTTGAATAATTGCGCGTGGTTTTCTCGTCGAATATTCAACGACGAATTTCGGTCGTAAATCTACGGCGCACCAGCCGCGTCTTTATCGCGGATGTTGACTGCGCAAGATATGATAACACAGTTCAATAATCGTGACGACGCACTTCGTCACCGATTAAAAAAGAATGACGCGAAATAAGCTTGAGAACAATGATCGATGAATCAGTCGTGCGTGATTAGAAGAACGCAGGGAACTCGGAAGAGAATTTTCCTTTTGATACCTTCAGCCGCGTTAAAGTTATCCCGTCATTATGGACAAAGTGTGTCTTTAGCTTATCTCGTTGATAACGTTCTCTATCTGAAGTTTGAACTTGCGAAACACTATAGTCTATCGCTTTACGAGCTGTAGTAAAACAGTTTTAATTGCAACGGTGAAGAAGCGGATGAAAAAACAAGCGGAACCAATGACTCCGCCTGCGTCTCGTCCCACCTGAGTTATTCGTCGGCCGTTGCGTTCTCGCGAAATGGGCATCGGGACGAAATGAAGCGTGTAAGCGTACGCGAGCGATGGAACGCCATATGGAACGATCTCTTCTACGCGCGCAAATTTCTTCAAAGTTCGGCTCTCAAGGCCTGCGTCCACGATGCTAGGACGTGGGCCAAGTTCTAGAAATGCGTAGCCAATCGACTCGCAGCTATTCCGTAAAAGCTGCAAGTCCATTGGCTGCGCATTCCTCGAAGCTAGAGCTTGGACCAAGTTCTAGCGTCGTGGACACAGGCCTCTCTCTCTCTTTACCGGTTTGTTCCACGCGATATCCGTTGGGAAGGGGAGGATACGTGCTTGTGTTTGTGGGAATTTACGTTGGAACGATTTAATTGACGCACCGTCCGGCTTTTCCCCAACGAATTCAATCCGTCGTTCGAATTCCGTGAGGACGTATATGCACGCATCGCTAGAATCTCCTTCGTGACACGACCGTAATAGCTTCCGGTCAGACGTCCAGCGGCGCCCGCTTCCGGTTCCCACCCTACTACGTGCATGAAAAGGGGAATTGGTTGATTTCGCGTTGTCAGATATAATCGCCGGCCGAATATAACGTATACATTTCCGTGGCGTCTGCGACTTTTTTTCTTTCGACCAGCGGCGAATATCGCGCTGATGTCGGCGAGAACGCGCGCTCGCTAATGCCGCGCAACGTACCGTGTTACACGGCCAGCGATTGTCCGCGTCATTAGAACGTGTTCTTCTTTTTTTCAGCAGTTCTCTTTACTATCTCTTGTTATTTAAGAGGCCGCGATTCTGCGAGGTATCGTCGAGGAGTATAACGGAAATCTAGGAAACCGTAATAACGAGCAGCGATTCCATTTCATCTGCTAACGCTACACCGTTATCAGGCATCCCGAACCTTCTCCTCTCGCTGCTCGCGCACTTGCGCGCGGGTGCTAATTAATTAACGAGGTGTCTTTTAATTTCTCGATGGCGTGCGCGATAATAATGGGCTTAAGGTGGGGCTCCTGCACAAAGGAGCGGATAGTATGGGTGCTTAAAGTAACTTTCCCAGCTCTGCTGCACTTTTCGATTGAATCACGGACACATTTGATGAAAATTATCCGACGAAGTGCAGTTATCGGTGAAATTTCACTGAAACACCGATCATATCTTTCATCGGATACACCCGTTCGTTATTATGCAATTGGGTTATCCGATTATATTTAATCGGGCATTTGTCTTTCGGTGTACCTGTTAGAAAATCTCGTTTTTACAAGACACCCGTTGAGTGGCCGCTCGCGTTAACAGTCCTGCTATTGTACGCGGGTGTAACTCGACGACAGGTGTACGGACGCAGCTACGTACAGGACGTCTCATAAAACGCGCCGCTCTTTTGCGCTCTATTTTTTTTTGCGCCAACGCGCTATTTTATTTTTAGACCCATCTTTGCAGCTTGCTAGTACAAAAAAAAATTTCTGCGTTGCGCGGGTAAATGACCGTCAAGTGGAAATTATGTCCGAACGGAGGTCTCTTTATAGCGGAATCTCTTAACATACATATTTATATAGCGTATAAACGGTTAAATATTACACAATTAAATTATTTTGCTAAGAAAATATTGTAGAGGAAGAATAAGATTTGATGATTTGTGCGATTGCAGTGTTTGCTGTTATCTAAATAAAATTATATAGATGATTATCTAGATAAATTTTAGCGTTATCTTATCTTTATATAGATAATAAAAATAAGTATTATCTATATCTGTATCTTAGATGAAAGAAAGTGTTATTTTTACTAAATTATTTAAGATAAGGTACAGATAATTTGGTTTAGGGCCACATAAAAATACTTAACAGTTACACTATTTAAATATGGATGTCGTTGTAGACCATGCATTTATGTGTGTGTCATATAACTTAACCTGAATATATTCTATATCCCCCTTTATAATTTAAATTTTTCTATAATTTTTTAATAACTTTTTCTACTGTGTTTACATGAAGTCTTAAAAATATTATCTGAAATTATCTAGATGAATCATCATATAATTTTATCTTTTATCTAGATATATTCAAAACAAAATCATCTTTATCTTATCTAAGATAAATTTATATATTTTTATCTTATCTTTATCTAGCTAATTTTAAAATCATCTATGCACAACACTGTGCGATTGTTATGCGACGTTTACGATATTGAGTCTGCATCTTTACGCGCGTAGATCAAGAAACTTTTATCAGATACTCGCAAAGCAACGTTCGCGCCCGCAAGCGCGAGGCTGAACAACAGAAACGCACCGCACCTGTAACCGACGGGAATACATTAATGAATCCTTCCTCACCTGACTATCGGTCACCTGACTCATTTCCTGTGGACTGAAAGAACCCCCGGTACGTTTAAAATCGTCGATACAATTGCATCCCGCGCATCCGCTGTCGGGATGTAATCACGGGAACGCGAACAAAAACCCGTCATTGTCGCTAGGCGTATTGCAGAGAACAGTGAAAGTTAAACCAGTGAACGTCTGTCCGCCGTGTAACATTTTTTTTTCCTAAGTTTATTTATTTATAATACGACAAGAGCCTGGAGTTACAGTACGTAAGTTAATGCGCATACAGAATATTAAAACATTATGGCAAAGTAATTGCACGGAGAACGCACGAATAGATAATTGTTGTCGGCAACGTTGTAAATATAAGAAGAATACGAAGAAAATAACAAGCAATTCTTAATTGTCTCATCGTGTCATAACGTTGTACACAAAGGTTCTGTCCGGGCGATTTCACTATAAATAGCACAAATATACGGTTCGGTGCAGTGAAGTGGAAGAAAGGAAGAAAAGGAGGCTCCGTGGAACCAGGGTACGATGCAAGGTGCAACACGTGCTGCCCGACAGCTGTTTTCCGGTTTAAATTCGGACGTTAAGCCCATTTTTTAATTTCGCGCCCGGGCGCACCCTCAAATAATAATAACCGCAACGTGACACGGGGTGAATCCTCCGCTGGGGACTCGCGAGCCATTCGTCGATACGCTCGCTTTATTCATGCACAGAGACCGCATTCCAGGGAACGCGAACGGAAGTAGATCACCGTAAAAGTTGCCAGGCATTTTCTTCCCGCCGTTTAAAGATTATAGGAGCCCCGGACAGCACGACGGAAAGAAAACGTATCCTGATCGGCAAATTATTTGCAGGTAGTCTGTTATTTCTGCCCGATGTAAGAAACGAGAGAAAAAGCGGCGTATTTTCGTATTTTTAACCAGCCATGGAGGACGAAGACTTCGGTTTCGCAAGGAGAACGGACAATGTCCTGAAGAAGGTTTTCACCGTTAGCAATGATACAGTTCATAACGTTGAGCAACTAATCTGTTCTCCACCGAAGGTTGGTTCTTTACGCGCGTGTTGTACGATAGAAAGAATTTTTTTTGTAAGCAAACACTCCACCGCGAACAGTAATAATTAACGAGAATAAAGACTGATTGTCGCCAATAAATAATAAACCGACGTAGGAAATTAATAATCGGCACAACTGGCAAATTCCAATTGAAGAAATCAGAAGTAATAGTTAACATCTAATACAAATCTACAGGAAGACAGATTTATTTGTTTATCTTGAGATAAGCCTCGACGAGGCACACGTGAAATTTTCTTGCTTCTTATGCGACTGAAGCATTTCCGGCGCACGTAACAATTTTTAAGACATTTCTAGCAAGAAATATAGATCTTTATTAATTGTTGTTTCGCAAATACCAAAGGCTAAAATCGGTAGTACTTGAACACGGTAAGAAATGGCGATTCCAGACAGAGGTATTCTACAAGTTTCGCCGAATGGTGATACGACGCGCGTAAAATTGGAATTTGAGCAAGCGCATTGTAGAAATACGCAAGTGGATGGGCATTTACAGCTTTGTAAAATGTAATTAGACATCGGAAGTCGTTGGTGGAGGTGGATCAACGACACCAGCGCCTCTGATCGGGGCCGGAAGCGAGGGTTCTGTACGCGCGTCAACCGCCGCTGGCTCAGTCGTGCCCAACACGCCGAACATACCGAACGTGGTGGAGTACCATCTTAAAGTCAAGCCCAGGTCAACGACGAGGCACTGCCGGCCCGATAACGTTCCCGTGAGTAGCGCTTTAAGACTTTCTCGCGGAGAACGCAGGTAGAAAGACGCGCGGTGGATCATCGGCTGCGCGAGGATCGATTTGCCGTTTCCATTAGCGGTATTTATCATTACAATGTTTGCCGAATACGAAGAGCCGTAAATTTTCCCGTTATTCTACCATTCCGTGCGTTTCGCTTCCTCTCTATTTAAATTCACGGCGCATCTGCATTTCTTTTCCTATTCATTAGAAACCTTTAATCCTTAGTTATTTAAATCACGAGAACGATCGCCTTTGAATTTTATTTCGAAACTACGATCTTGAAATAAGTAACGCTGGCAGACTCGCGCGTTAAAAACGTGAATTTGAAACAGAAATACCAGCCTCTGGAAGAAATGAAGAAGGAGAAGAGTCCGGTGTCTTCTGATGATAAAAAGAAGGACCTCGTATCGAAGCTGTCACGCCTGTCCATCGACAATAATGTTTTTGAGGGCTCGACTGATTTGCCGCAAGTGTTTCAGGTACAATTTTCTGACTTTTGAGATAAGAGATTGAGCTTTTCGAGAGTATTGCACTAATATTCACTCTAGTTGTCCCAATAAATAATGCTAAGGCAAAATTATACTGCAATAACGATATAAAATATTTATGTAATATATGTTTGTATTTTACGTAATATAAAAATAACTTTTTAGAAAATAGATAAGATGTTATATGTAAATTTTAAATAACATTAAGGCATATCAATTACTGTGTCTAATATTTAAGATAAAATAAAACTTTAAATTAAAAATTAACTAAAATAAAATAATCTGTTGTGTTCAAGTTCTTTACAATTGATATTATAATTTTGTAAAAGCTGGTATTTAATTCGAAAAAGCTAATTTTTTAGTAACTAGTGTTTCAGATATTTCCAATAAAATGTAATAATTTTTTAAATTAAAAATAAAATAAACTTAGATAAAAAGATAATATATTCTGTAATTTTTACACGACATTGTAAAGCTGGCATCTCTTGCTAAAAGAAGGCTGCATCGTTAAGATTTCAAAGCTTTCGGGAATCTTAGGAGGTCCGTTACGTATTCAAGATTTTTACGATGACCGTTTTCAGGTGAAATATTTGGGGTCCCATGATGCAAGAGGCCTCTGGGGTATCAAGCATACGAGAAGGCCCGTCGATAATATGGTCTCTGCCGCGAAGGCTTTGCCGACCAACACAATGCTTCCTCTTGTCAAGCTGGTGGTCTCTCAGGAGGGAGTTGCCTTGCTGCCATTAGACAAGAGGAAGCAGGATGCCAATCTATCCAGAATGTATCCTATTGAGACGATCTCCTACGGAGTACAAGATCTCGTTTACACCAGGGTCTTCTCCATGATCGTCGTTCGTGAAACGGAAAACTTCCGGAGAATCTCGCCGTTCGAATGTCACGGTTTCGTTTGCGAATCGAAGTACTACGCGAGACAGTTGACATACGCCCTCGCTGCAGCTTTCGAGAATTATTCTAAGGCAGTGAAGGCCCAGGAGAAGCTGACCGGAGTCATCGCGAATAACACTGCTAGGAAGAGATTTGCCATCGATCTGAGGAGCCCTGAGGAAATTGAAGCGGATCTTACGATGGACTCCGAAGCGTAACTTCCAAAATCTAGTGTTATCTATTAGATTGAGACATAAGTAAGTTTTTAATTGGAAAATGTTTCAAGAAAATCGTGGAGATTTTTAGGGGGAATCTCTACACGAAGAAATACAAAAAAAAATTCGAAAGTGATGAGCTTAACGTATACTTCGAAAACCTATTTAGAAATATGCGATTTCGTATCCTGTGTAACGCGATGTAAAATAGATTATTATATATACCTTAAATATTTTTGAAAAGGACAATACAGGGTAGAAAGTGTAGTTTTAGATTTTCAGAAAAGTATCATCGCATTTTTGTCACGGCAAACAGATGCATTTACATATTTAGTTAGACTTTCAATTTCCCCGGTATTTCATAGTTTTGATACACAAAGCTTGTGTTGATAGATAGAGATATATTTTTTACCATGAAATAATTAATTCGATATAAAGAAATTAATATATTTCATTTACATGGAAATAGACTTATTGGAATGCATTTAATAAATATATATGCTATAGATAATAAAATTGATAGATAAGTTTATGTACATAGTTGGAAATACAATCATAAAATATCGAGTAAATAATAATTTTTAATATCGTGGATACAGCATATTCTATTTCCGCAAAGAGACATTATGAGACATTATAAGAAACATATTTCAATTGCAGTTCCTTTCACAAAATGATGATTTCGATTCATTTATTTAAAATTCAAGATTGCATCTATGTACGCGAATGATGATTGATTCGTCACTGCGAAGATGTCGAATGATGCGTCAATTCAAAGATGAAAAACATATTTATCATCAGAGCGTTGTTACATGAATATGTGTGTTGTATAATTGTTGTTTGTTTTATTATTTTATCGGCAATGCGAAAAGTTAGATAGGTCTCGACTATCCGAGACATGATAGCTAGCTATCCAAAGATATCGAATAGAAAAACGATGGAACGCGAGAGTTGTGGATGATACTTCAAGCGATTTCATGAAAATTTTACGATGAGTGACGAATCGGACGATGGTTTTGGATCTATTTCTAGCTGTCTTACGTGTGCATGTATGTTTCTAGTTTAAGTTCATTATTTTAAGTCTACATTAGAACATTAGCGAAGCGTGTAATAACAACAGAGAGCTTGTTGTTATGTAAGTCCCAGTCTACAATAGATGATTTAAGCCCTAAGCTTTAAGAAATTGGCCAATCACGGTCAAGTATGAGTAGAATACGCGACTGTGGTTAGTCAATTTCTTAAAGGCTTAGGGTTTAAATCTCTATTGTAGACTGGGACTAATGCACATATATATATATATATTTAGTCGTTTTGTGTTAAGTTCATGAAAGACCAATATCATATACATATCAATCGCTGTAAATAGATAGCGTTGCCAACAACACCTCTTTATTATCGCGTATATATTGCTTATTTAATAAGTGTTTTTCTTTCACTTTTTTCTTCACGTTTGCAAAATCATCGCGTCACGATTTTTAGGTGTATTTTAGGCTTGGGACAATCGTGTAACGTTTCTCCTTGTATAATCACGGCCTTGCGCTCTAGCTGTCAGTATTAGATGTATATTTTGCTTGTACTTATACATTATTAGATATAGAAAATATTACACGTAATGTTTACCTCAACGTCGGCAAAGCCTTTCTTCTATGTTAGTGTTGTGTTATTGTGTTAATCTTCTTTTAGAATATACGTATGAGTGCAACAAGTTAAAAGAAATTGTCAGCTTTCTTTCCAAACATCTTTTATTTTGTTCGACGAATAATTGCACGTATGAACGTTTAATATTAATAATTTTGCACACAATCACATAACATACGACTTATGTTCTACTTATATTTCATTGGCACTGTACAGAATTTTATTTTACATGCATCGTAATTATGTCAAGTAACATATTTTACACTGTACATGTGGCAATAATTTACATTTTAGTTCTACGCACCATCTGCCCTTATGAAGGCTTTTGCGAGGCAGTTTATAAGCGAGAGAGAGAGATAAGCATTAAACTACTTTAACTTAAACTCTAAGTGAGCGTTTAGCGAACCTTAATCGGGGCGAGCTAAAATTTATTTTATTTCCTTTATCGGGGCTAACCGCAATAATCGCCACATTTTAAAGCGCGATTCCTTTCAAAAGAGCCGATAAAGAATGTTAACTTTTTAATGAGGCAACGACTTCTCTCGATTTAGCAATCTCGAATTTTTCGGGAATGGCTTTTTCGACACCGTTTCCACCTCCGGTTCCAAAATCTTCGTCGCGTTTTTCTTTCCTCGGTTCTGATCCGCCTCCTCCTCCTCTTCTACCTCCTTTCCGATGTCTTCGTTTAGGGAGTAATATTTTTCCGATTCCTCGCATGGTATCGAGCTTTCCGTTCGTGTGCACACGAATGTCGCCTGCAAATAAGTCAGAATATTATGATACCTTTGAATTAACTTGAGCAAAAAATAAATTTCCACTGTATTTAATATTAAGATCAGAGCGCTCCTTGATCTTTCTTGCTACAAAAGTACGTCGACATTTAGAATCGAACGTTACCGACGGAATATTAATTCACCTGATTGAAAACTGTCTCAGAGGGGCAGATGAAGCTCCATCTAATTGAGCCTCTCGCTTGCGGCATGCACACGTGAAACAGTTGGCACTCGTTATCCATGTCGGCGTAATAGCCATAAATTCTGTCCTGGCACGAAAACGTGTCGACGATGTCCTCGCGAATGAGCGTTGCGTTGTCGGGGAGCAGCAAGCCGCCAGTTTTAGGTGGCTGAAAAATTTGATTGGCACATTCGATTATCATGAATCGCGTGCGCGGCGATCCGTGAAGAATTTGTCGAAATATCGACGCCTCTAAAGACCTTGAACGCTGGATTAGGCCTCTTGGATTTCGGCTGCTGGGGCAAACTCAGAGCTATCGCGAGTAGACCGAGAAGTAGCACGACGAAGAGCCTCTCCCGCGTCATGATTTTAATGAGGTATCGCGGAATACGCGTATCTTCCTGCGTTATCTGTTCGAGCGCCGGTGGTCCCTTGTCGCTAAATGTGACGTTTTATTGTAGTTCTATGTTCGGGGATCTTGAGAAGACTGATGGTGTGATTCGCAGAAGGGTGTTATATAGTGAATCGCGCGTAAAGATCTTGAATATTGTATGAATGGCCGATTCTCGGTACATCGAAATCAGTAAATCCATCACGTTTGGTCTGCCAATGACCATCGTCAGACGTCCACATCATCCTCGAAGGCCCGATGCAAATGCCGCTGCTTACGGCTTGATGATGTGCTCATTTGGCAGTTTTTATTTATGTTATTCGTAAAAGCGCAAATCTATACTTTCCTGTGTGATCAGTGATTTCCTTTACGTAGAAAATCACGTACACGGGGAGGATTTTCTCTTAAAATTTATCCTGGAAATCGTGTGAACGTGGGACAACATGGCATTTCGAAGAATTTTATGTGAGTTTTTAAAAAATTGTACTTTAAAATTGTAATTACTAGTAAAACGTATGGTAAAATTTCAAAAAATGTCATAAAATTCTTCAAAATGCCATGTTGCCCCACGATTACATGATTTTCAGGATAAATTTTAAAAGAAAATTCTCTTCGGGTTTATGACATTTGAAGGAAGATAACTGTTTTTAATTTATTGATTTTTTTTCGCTTATTTTTAACTTGCTGTTAAATTCTCAGGTGTACTTCGTCGGTGCAGTAATTGCATACTAATAGCATGCATGTATTTGTGTCAAAACTTTTGACATTTTCTTAACAATTTTGTTAAGCGTACTAGAAAATGCATATGTCTACGAAACACGACGATTTGCGAAACATCGACAACGACAATAGTTTATCAAGACATTAGCAGTCAGGGAGGTCCTCCTGAAAAAAGGATTATGTTTAAAAGGAGCCAAGCGCGTTGAATCGTCTATGAGGATCCCGGAGAGACGTGCAATTCCAAGGCCGGATATAATATAAATTACACGCCAGGCGAGCAGATGTGCCAAAATTTTTACGCGGCGATTTAAATTTCTGGCTTTGTTCGTAACTCGCAGATCGTTCTCACAGACCTGTTCTCTATTCCTCTTCGCCGTTACCTCCTTTATCCCCAAACGCGACACGTTAGTCCCATTCCGCGATTGGCTGCGTTCCAATCGAAGCTTCGAAGACGGGATATCTTTCGCGCGAATTCGGCCATCGAAATTCGAGGGCAGCCCCGGCCGGGCTTCATCTTCGTTAAGGCCGCGTCGCGAATAGCATTTCTTCGGGATGTGAATACTTAATAATCAACGAGATAAATGTATCCGATTACGAAATCGCGCCTGCCTTTGGATATCGACAATGCGCGTGAAAAGACATTTTCGTGTAGATAACAGTCTCTCCTAGAGGAAACCTGGTGGTTCGTAAAAAAGTTTCTTAGAAAAGATGAGTCTTCATATTTTTATTAATCCGTCAATGGGTAAAAAGCAATTATATAGAAAAGTATAAGTCGTACAACAAAAGCGAAAGCAACAAATATAGATTTTATATCGTAACATCCAAGCACATAAAATATGTTTCGCGATGTGTTTGGATTTTGTGATAAAATTTTTTTACCTACTTCTTTTTTAATAACTAAATCAGTACACATTTTTGTTTCAAATTTACCTACGTTATAGATAGCGTGTTTTTTAAATCTTTCTTAAAATTTCTAAAAAAATACACGTTTCTTTCGTAAGAAACTTGGTCCTGCGGTTCATGGCGCATCGATGCGCCACAATCGTTGCACAAATCTCGCGCGTTTATCATTGAAACGATCAGTAGCAAGGTGAACACCCTGAAAATATCGCCGCTCCTTGAGGATTCCGGTCACATTATCCGTCGTGCCACGACGAGGAATACAAAGATTTCAGGATGGTCCACCGGTGCGGCTAAAGAAGGTCACGCGATTCGTGCATCGGAACCGCCAAAGTTTTCTCTTCGCAGCTACGACACGAATTTTCATTTTCCTTCGTCGATAAACGTAACAATCGCGTCTTAAAAAAAATGCGAAAGAAATCGTATACTCGTATAGTTTATTATACAAAATTTTAGTACGCACATGCTTCTGTAGGAATTAATTTGTTATAAATTATTGTTGTCTCTCCCAAAGAAATTTGCTTTTAAATAACATACAATTTTTCTGCTATTATTATATATATATATTTATAGTATTGATAAACATTCCAAGAGAGGCGTTAAACTTAAACCTAAGGTTTGCTGAGTCACGGTACGAGCAATAGCATGTTCTTTTAATTAAAATAGTTGATCCTAAGAAATCTCTTTGTAGCGAGATAGAACAGGTACTCGTAAGTAACTTTGGTATGACTTAAGGCGATTAAAGAGTTCTATTTTTATATATGAAAATTAGAGGTCAGAGAAATCCCCGATCATCCATCATTAATTGAAGTGAAACTCAAGATGATCGTGTAACATATGCCGGCGCGCGATGCAACGAATTAAATAAATAAATACTACACAACGTATAAATATCGACGTCGGGTCGTGGACGTTTCCTGACTTTTGGACTAAAGTTGTTAGCCGCAAGATAGACGAAGAACGATGGGACGATAATCATTTTACGACAGTAATTTGCATCATTGTCCGATACTTTGTTGATGTCTCTCGCGCAAAATGATCGTCCCCTCGCTCAAATTTATGCGATCTTGATGTCAGTCCGTGGGTACGTGAGCGCGGTAGGCGAGCTCTTGAGGCGTCTCGTTCGACGATCTTCCCCAATAGCCGTGATCGTGATCGTCGTGGTCGTAGTGATGCTGATGCTGTGCGTGCTCGTAGTAGATAACCTTGGAAGGGGTCTTCTTGATCTCTATCCAGAACCTGGTGGCGTTCAGTATCAACGAGATGACGGCGATGACGAAGAACTTTAACTGGAAGTGGGTGCTTATCAGCTGCAGCAGCAGGCTGAGTTTCGCTTTCAGCAGCATCGCCACCGCCAGAATTTTCTGCAGGTGTTTCTTCTTCTTGCCGAACTTCTTCTTCCGCGCCTCTCCTAAAAGAAATTGTACTGTTATCGTATTGTAACTGTGTTAGTTACGTTACATGAATTCCCTTGCGAATCTGCGACGGAAAAAGAAATGCAGTGCGCGGCAATTAATTGCAACCGAAAGCGAATGCTAGAGATAATATTTTTCTCGTAGGTGCGAGCGTGACATTTTAGTGCCAGAAATTGCTTTAAATAAATTCGCCGAGTGAACGTGAACGCAATCAGCGCACGCAATCTGGCGAACGTAATACGAGGATCTCCGCGCAGGTTGACCCACAAACCTTAACCCGGAGTGTATTTCGTCTGGCTTACGCGCCACGTAATCGTCCGCAACCGGTACAACTTTCTTAAAAAGAATCGCACGGATCGCTTTCGCGGCCGAATTTCCTCACAATGTAAAAACAGAATATCTCTTCCGCGTCCCACAACGGTTAAGGCGGAGTGGATTCAGCGATTCGCGAGATGTCATCGACACCCGGTTCCACCCTTGCTCGTCGGCGAAATGTTAAATCGATATGAATCGTAGCGAATTAGCGTAATGCCCGTCGAATTACTCAATTTGTCGTCGACAATTTGCCGGCGAGTACCGTACAGTTTTCTGTACGCTCCAAAAGATAACGAAGATAATATACCCAGTACCGTTGTCAGCCTAAAAAAAATTTTTTTTTTTGGCAGGTTCGATTAATATCTCGTTAGAGCGATTTTAATACAAACCGTGACTCCTCTGTTCTCCACGAATTTGAAATTAACGTTCGCGGACCGACGTTTATTTTTCCCGTCCTCGGTACGATTCGCGTCTGTTGACTTTTGCTGGAAAAAATAGCCAAGAAAATGGCGAGTGATGCAATCGGTACCGTTACCGTCGATATGCCTAAGTCGTGGCCACTGCTTTGACGTAAACTGTGTTACAACGTCGGCGACACGCGCACGCGAGCACAATTGCGTGCCGTACATTTAAACAGCTCGCTAGTGACCCAGACGGGGAACTTTGTAGGCTCGATCGCGCATTAACTTGCGGTTTGCTTTGCCTCTTTAAGCGTTAACTACAGTGTTTACGTTTGCATTGACGCCCAGTCGACGGTCAAACTTTATGCAAAACGACAGAAAGTCCGTTCACCTTAGCGAGACACGCCCCCCGAATCCGCGAAACTCGCTCGCCTTGTTAATGGGATTTACTTTCCTACATTGAGCCGAGATACAGTTGAACGTCATTCATTCATTCATAGATCCCATTCACGATCGTCGATAATATTTCTACACTGAAAAAAATGTCTGGTTGAATATGGACGAATCAGATAATTCCTTTAGGATTTACCAGAATTTCTGTAGGATTACAGGAATTCTGGTAAATCCTAAAGGAATTCTGGTAAATCTTAATGGAATTATCTGATTCGTCCATATTCAACCAGAAATTTTTTTCAGTGTATGCAAGCTCCATTTCCGGTAGTGTGTTGAACGGTATCTCTGTTCACGACGTTGTCAATTGATTTATAATTACGGCACTTGATTGGTAGCAGAGCTTGTAACATATTATTTACATAGATAATTTTATGATGCAACCCATTACATCGTGATAGTAAAGTTGATAGTAAATAGAAATCGCACGCACGAGAAGACAATCACGGGTAAGACTTTTAAACGAAAATTACCTTCTCACGTGCGTTTCTACGTTTCGCGCAAAAGTACTGAATACAATGGCATCGTTTCGGGAAAACTAGGGAAATAAGGTGCGTAACGGAGAAGAAAATCGGCACAGTAATTTCCAGTGCACCCAGATGAACTGACTTCCTGTCGTTACATCTCCAATAGAGGAAGCAGTTACGAGTTCGGAAAGAGTTAACCGACTTTGTCCAACGGTGCCTCTCGGGAAACGCGAAAGAAGATACGACGCGCGCGGAGGCGACCTTACACGCGTTCCACGTGCCGTCTCATCGCGATTAGAAATCTGAATCGCGAAATCGCCGATCTCGATCTACGACAGCTTAATTACGCTGACACACTATTCGGCAGTGCCTTGTTTATACGAAAGTTAACAGCTTGTATTATTTTAGAATGACAACTAGTAAAGAATCACACGTTGTCGGACATTGGCGAAGCAATAACAAAGAAAGAGAAAAGGCACGAAAATTGACAAATAATCGATTGCACAGAGAGCGAGCGATCATTAATTTAGGAATTAATATGCCGATGAAAAATGATAAGATATTGAAATTATCCCTCTCTTTCATTAACGTAATGATATTGCGATTCGATTTCTAATTTTCACCTGTATTGTGGACCCGAGCGTCGTCATTCTCGACCGTTTCTTCCGCAACGTTCTCCTGTAGATCGTCAACGACATCAGCAATGAACTCGCCGGTCTGTTCGATTAACCTGCTCACAGGTGGCTCGTTCCTCTTCCCGGTAACTTCCAACTCGATCTGATCCAAGTCGCGGGCCAGTCTTGTCTTGAGGCAATTTCCCGTGTTGGCCATGAAAATACACTCCAGAGCGCCGAGATCGTCTTCCTGCGACTTGCTCTCCTCCGTCGCCGCGCAATGAACGTGCGCAGCGAGTCCAAGGACCAAGAAAACCAGCGCGACTATTAGTCTCATGGTTGCCTGTCGTCTCCGCCGAATTTGTCGAACCTCACCGATCGAGGCCCACCGTTATCACCACCGAAAGTCGCGCGATAGCTTCCCTGACGACCGGCTATCACGTCTGTCACCCTCTTGTACGCCGTTTTTATTCTCTGATCTTGACCGTGGCCTTGGACCGCGTGTCACAGGCACGAAGTGGTTGTGGAGCGTGCGTGGTCGAACATATATGAGACTGGTGTCCCTTCCATCTCAACTTCCGCCAATAGTGGGTAGTGGGTTTGGTATCATGCCTAACGGGTGCCCCTCCAGCACGGTGGGCTTCTGTGGGCGCCACGACGAAACGTGCGGCGCCGCTCCGGAGGTACTGCGGGTCCGCGAATTAAGGGAACGAATAAAGTGGGATATCTCTTCTATGTACCACTGATGGCAAATTATTCATAGAGCGGTAACGGGATCACGCCAACTTTCATTCTCGTTATCCCGCGAGACTCCTACTTCCTTTCCATTTTCGTACGCAGAATTTTCTCTTAAAATTCATCCTGAAAGTCATGTAGTCGTGGGACAACATCGCGCTTTGGAGAACCTTGGGAGAGTTTTTTTTGAAATTTTATACGTTTTACTAGTAATGACACTTAGTGTGCATTTTTTACTAGTAAAAGTGTATGGTACAATTTTCAAAATCTCTCATAAAATTCCGCGAAATGCCATGTCGTCCCACGATCACATAATTTTCAGGATAAATTTCCGGAGAAAATTCTCTCCGTGTATTTCTATCTCTTTCGTATCTTCTTATTTTTGTCAACTAATGTTTATTGCTTTTAGACCGAAACGTAAAAGTTAATACTGTAAAAATAACGCGAGTACAAAACCGCACCTTCCTAAAATCCTTTTTCCAAATTAAGAAACTGGAGAAAATTCGAATAACATGTGGCAGCGATTTTAAAGTAGTATGCGAGTGACTTGGCACACGCACTTAACAGTACGTGGGACGACGACAAAAATCCCACTTGATCGATATTAACCCAATTCTGGATTTTGTCGTCATTTCAGGAACAAACAGGTATCAAATTATAGTGAAATCGTTGCTTTCGTAAAACGTTTAAATCGCCATTTACACGTGTGTCCAATACACGTGTGTCTGATTCTAATAGCCGAACATTCGCTATTGTTCTATGTATTCTCATGGAGTTTATCCCGTTTGATTTATTACATTTAATTATCTCAAGTGCGACAGTACTGTTTGTTCAAGCGTACCTCGCTCTACAAGCCTTTCACTGGGGAGGCTGAAATATCACTTAACGCTTCGATTATCATAAGAATAGTAATCCGCATTTCACAAGTTCAGAGCGTCGCAGTCACGCGCGCCGGCGCGTGACAACTCAACTGTCACAACGTGTCTCAATGGCTTTTGTGCCGTTAATTAACGCAATCCCAGGACGTCGCGGCCGCGCCGGTTTCGTGAATTATGCATCAATCATCCGGGAATTTTCGCCTCACCTTTCACCGCGTTCGATTACGTTCGCCCTTTCCGTATTTTGCCCGCGTCGCCTGTTAATCGTCAATTACACGATGTAATAGGCACAGTGGCGCGCGAATATCATTATGATAAGTTGCGCATACATATGGAACCTGTCATAATGGAACGAAATACGGCTCGTCCGCGCAAAGGTCTCGTCGCGCAGACCATTCGAGACGATTGCTTTTAAGAATTTCCTTATTTTTTTTTCTTTCGCAGAAAAGAAGTATCTTCTCTGATATCTGCATGCGCAACTCGAGAGAACGGATAACCGTGCAAACCAAGTGTAGCGTACTTTGTAGAACAGAAAAGCCAACATTGTGAGCTTTACTATCGTTACCGTTATCTCGTTATTATTTATGTGACAGTTTTATCGCGTATTCGCCACTCTCGAATATATGAATTTAGAGTCATTCTAGTAATAATCGTTGAAACATCTGGTCAAGTATGGTCAAGCGGGACAAGTGCCAAATACTTGACCCGCTGATGTATATAAACAACACTTTTATTACTACATTTGCGCTGGAAGTAACGAACACTGGCATCGCTTCGTAGAGACCTATTTTATGACGCTCGTCGGTGCTCTGGGAAAAAAAAAAGTCAGTTACAATCCATTTTGGGGCCCACAATTAGTAATCGAATTATTTAGATTGTTCGTAACTCTAACTTTTACGAATTTTATCTCGCGTAACTAAAAATCACAATTAGCCGTTCTATCCATATTCAAGATATTAGAGTAATACTAATCAATTCTCTCAATTAGTTCTGTCGATATTCAGTAACGCAAAGATAATTTTCACTTAAGTGGCAATAACCGAAATGTTAAGTTGCTTAACTACATCAAAAAACGGTCAAAATTTTTCCCAGAGTAGAGTTACGAACAATCCAAATAATTCGATCACTAATGGTGGGCCCCAAAATGGGTTATA